TAAATTTGTTTAGAAAGCAACACTAGCTTTTAAATCTTTCTCTAGTGTACTTAGTGCAGCCATTGAATTATAACTTCATTAGCCAAGCTCATACAGTTGCCATCCAAACGTCATTTCAGGTGGAAATGTAATGTATCAGCCTACTTTAAAGATAAGGAATTACCTCCTAACACAGTTTTATTAGGGGTTCTAATTGTGGGAGTTTCTGTTGTGGCCTCAATCAAGTAGAGCTCTAGTCATATTAAAGTTGTACTTCTTGTTAGTATAAAGCTAAATCTAAGCAGAAATAAGGACATAAATAAGATTTTAAGTGTCCCTAATACCTTCAGTGTTGGCTGAATGACTCAACAGGAATTGCTGCACCATTCTGCAGGACACATGGCTCCAAGTAGCCACAAGGAAAATCTCAGTTACGTGCAAGGAAAACCTTTTTCACATGTGGGTTGTGAAACGTGGTAACAGGTTACTCAGAGAGTCTATAAGGTTCTGCCTCCTGGAAGGACATGGCTCGATGAGACCCTCAGCAATCTGACCCCTGGGGTAGGTTTGTTTGGACTGGAATGTTGGACCAGATGACCTCCCAAGGTCCTTTGGAGCCAGAATGATTACAGAATTCCTAAGGAGGGTAACCTGTAGAGCTGAATAGGACTCTCTGTTTGTTTGGATAGCTGTACTCTTACCTTGGTGTCTGGATGGCACAGGAGACTCACTCTAGTCATTTACAACAGGATGCTGATGCCTGTTCTTGAAAAGCCATCGTGCTTGAAACCTGCCTTCCTACGTGTCATTCCACCTGCTCAAAGGATTCAGTACTCTAAGATCTTACTGTAAGAGATTCTACTACAAATACTCATCTTCAAAGATAGCTGGGAGGTCTTACCCAAAATACCTGCTTAAAGTTGTCTCTGAACTGTTACATCTGATTCTGCCTCTCCATCCCCAAACCATATCACTTGTTTGCTGCTAGACTCAATCTGTGCAAACAGTCACTTGAAGTAAGGACACTCACTCACTCCTGGTAACTGTGTCTCTGATAATTTGTCCTCACCAGCTACAGAAGAGTGAGTATAAGTCACAGAAGTCTGAGTAACTGTACTTCTCTTTTATGGACAGAGTTACCTGCTGCTCTAACACTTGGGCAGGTGAATGCTTAAGGACCAGTCTGTGAATGGAAGTACTGAAATCTTAAAGACACTTGTAGAAAATAATGAGTTAACCTGCTGAATATTCTCCTTCCCTTCTTGCATCCCTTTGTGCCTACCTTAGGAGCCAGAACCTCTGCAGAAACAGCTCTTTTATGTCTCTTTGCTTCTTCCACTATACAACTCTCTTGTACTGTAATGTTAGTGTGAACCAGGTGAGGAGTTGACTTTAGGAAAAACTGAGAATAAGCTGAGACTGAACTATCTAATATCCCTTGGAGATCATGTTAATATGAGGGTGTTGAGCTAATGTTTGCAGAAGAGGCATCTCAGTTGAGTTGGCTGGCAGATAAAGGCATGTATTTCTCTTGGATTTTGCACAGAGAGAACTTCAGTCCATGCTGAGATTTTCATGGCTCTTGGCTGGAATTACCCCTGCTGTGTGTGAATCTTTATTGCCTCCATCTTTACTCTGTATTTCCTCAGTGAATATCCAGACTTACTTGTACACAGGAACAGGCATCACTGGAATAGATCAACTGTAGGTGATGAAATAAAGTACCATTCATCCTTATCTTTTTCTAGGCAGCAGTGATGGTTCTGAACTCAGTGAAGAGACTTCCTGGCCAGCATTTGAAAGGTAAGAAAAACCTGTTTCTCTGTTCACATTGCTGCTTACAATCTCACTCGGTCCTGAAAATGCTGCTTTATTTTAGTGATCTAGAGATCTTCCATTTGTAAGAATATTGACAAACTGTAGGAAGTTCTTTGTTGTTTGAACAGACCCAGTGAGGTTCCTCCTGCTCAGTTACCTGATTGTGTACTTACTCCTTGCACACATTGAGTAGCTCAGCCAAAGTACCATTAGACCCCAAATGATTTTCTGGCTTCATGTGTGTGGAATCCTGTCTGGGCTATTCATGTGACATATCTGGTTTTCATTTTCACTTTCCCCTGAGATATTTCATCCATTCATGGCCCCTTTGCTCTCTTGTCATTGACAGTGTCACCTTTTCTGTCTCCTCTCATCTGCTTTTCCCTTCACGTTGTCACTTGCCCTTGTGTTACATGGGAAAACACACAATTGCCCCTTGCAAACATCTGATGTTGAGGTCCAGAATGAACATGTTGTTCCTTATCCAACACTTGTAAATGCTCAGGTGACATTGAGCACTTAGTCCTTTCCCATGTTGTATTTGAGAATGTGGAAAAAGACTAACAGTAGGATATAGAAAAAGGTGGAAATTTCACCTTCCCATGGCTGAGCAAGATGCAGAATACAGTGTCATTTGCTTTTCTAACAGTTTCAGGTAATCCATCAGCTTCAGAGTTGCCATGGGTGACTTTTCCTCCTTGACATTGATTTTTTTTTTTTTTTTTAATAAATTTTTGTCAAAGAACTTTTATAGTTGAGAACTGTTACCACAAACCTTATATTCTTCTTTGATTCATTGAAGCAGTTCAAGTTCTGTGTTAATTTTGGAAGAAATCTTTGCAAATCTCTCAGTGCCAAAGGTGAACTTGTGGATGTTTCATGTCATAAATGTGAATACATACATGAGGAAAGGCCCTTATCATTCCACTAGGTGAGGGATAGGAACATTCCACATGGAATCGGGTCGGAAAGGAAATGTCAAAGTTGCAGGCTGCATCACAGAGCACATACAACATTCAAAAGGTTTTCTTTCTTTTCTTTCCCTGGTGCCCTATGGAATTACTGCAGTTGTTTCTCAGAGATAAAAGTTCTATGGAAAAGCCTTAGCCAAAATGGTGAACTGAGTGGTTTTGCCCTCAGTAGCACAAGGAACTGAATAATTTTAATAAGCCTCAGGTCTAAACTCATGGTTAGACTCTATAGAGCTGTTGTGTGCACTTCTGACACAAAGCAGAGGGTTTCATCCCTGTCCTAGTGAGAACTCCGTGTCAATCAGAACATTCCTCCTCCAAACTCCACTTGCCTTCCCTCCTTACTTTCTCCTCTCCTGAGAATGCTCTTTGAGAACCCTGTTTGAAACTGCACAGGGCGAGTTCTCTTGCTTCCAGGGAGAGGGATAGGGTTCCTTACAGACATTCCAAACACCATGTGTGAAATTCCTGGAGATATGCAGCAACCTTGAGTCTGTTCCTTGGTTTATAAGATGATGAAGCATGTCTGGAATTTAATAGGTAATTCACTGACATGTAAGTGTTGAAATATAAGATATTAGAGAGTGTCTCTGCTTTTGGTCTATACAGTGGGTTTCCATTCTTCATAAAAGAGTCTTTGAGTGAGGGAGAAGCATCAGTTGTCTGGAATGAACAGCTCTGGCAAAATTGGGATACTTCAGTGTTATTCATTATTACTTCTATGCAGTGCAAGTGGGAATTCAGTATTCCTCAGTGATTTAGGAACAGGATCTTTGGGTAGGAACACTCAAATCTAAGAGGAAGAAAGGAGATCCTCCACACACAGATTCCCCAGGTAACAGAAGGAACTGTAAGAAATATTCATGGTTTTCCTGGCCTTCCTGTTTGTAACTGGGGAATGCAGAAGGGATGACAATTAGAGCCACTGATTGTTTTTAAGTGCAACAGGAACTTAGTTTGAAACTTGAGAAAGAGCTTTTGGCATTGGGGTGTCCCTTCAGACTCATCAAAACTACTGGAAGCACTTAAATTCCAGGTCCTGACAGCTCTGCCCTGTTATGGGCAGTGTATTAGGTGACACCTCAGTCTCACTGGTTGTCATCCTGAGTGTCCCTGAACTAGCAGGAATCCAAGAGCCATAACCTCCTTGCTATGCAAAAACCCCAAGCTTAAAGGTAAGAAGAAAACACATTTATTTTGCACTCAGAATATATGTGCACACAGCACATATAATGGTTTTCTTTCCTTAATTATTGCTTTATTTGCTTATGTCCTGAATGTGTTTTCAAAAAGAGTTCATACATTCAAAGGTAGAAATGATGCAAATCTGGGGTAGATGATTAGATGGTAATTCATTACTATCTTTGATAATTCTTGCAACAAAGGCAATAGTTTGAGCTGGTTTAAAACACGAAAATGATAAAAAACCTCTAATTCTTTTGGTTCAGTGCTGCTGACCTTTCCTGAATCTCTTCTTTGAGCCTGTTGTATTTGCCTGCAGTTCTGAGTTCAGGCTGAAACATGGCAGTGCCACTTGTTGAGGTTTCCCATCTGAAAATCCTGCCCTGGCCACGCGTAAGCATCTTTCCAGCTCATGTCCAGCCGCTCTCACAGGAGACAGACACTTTGATACCATTTAGGAGGTGTTGCCTGTAAAATTCTCCCAGGCTTGTACTTCCCTGCTCCTCCTGCAGACCTGGAGCTGATTTCCAGTCTTTCAGCACAAAACCAGCAGCTAGGAAAATGGATGAAAAAAGAGGAGGTGAGGACCAAGTGCCTCAGTAGTGCTTCTGTTGGCTTAACTGGGATTCAGTTGATAACAGGTAAAGGACTCCAAAATGGGGAGTTTGTAGCTAAAGTCTGGATAAACTGGAGAATTGAAATATGACTGAGATTATTTCAGTGTTACGTAGCACAACAGGATTTTAAGCAGTGTTAGGCCTATTTTGTCAGAGCTTTTGATTCCTTTCAACCCAACTGCTTCTACGTGTGCATCCTCATAGCAGCTGAAACCATTTGTTGTAGTAACATCTCAATCAGATTTAAAGACAAGTTGTGTGAATGTGGTTCCTTTACATTGATTTAGTAGTCTTTGCTCTCAAAATGCATTATTCTTCAGTGCCAATAAAACTCTCCAGGATTATCTCTGACCAAGAGAACACCAGATGAGATACAAACCCATGGTATCTACCTCTGCATGCATTTTGCTATAAATAAAACTGTCCTCTGTTTCTTGTGTGGAAGAAGTGGCTTTGTGATGTGCACACAGAGAGAACTCTGTGCTGTTTGTGTGAATGACAGTATATGTAATGCCTACAATTTATAATGGAATCCAACAGGAACAGGTTGTACCATTCCCTCGGCCCGGGGACACGAGTGTCACGAAATGGCTATCGAGGCCACATGAAGGCCAGCAGGTACAATCCCCACTGCACACAGAGGTGCCAAACCTTCCCTCTGGTGTTGGTGATTTGGTTTGGTTTGATAATTAAGTGGGTGTTTTCTGATGTTACCTTTCTAACTTAACATGTCCAAATAAAAGTAGAGACCTTTTTCTTTGGACTTAAAACTTTCCTCGTCTATGACTTAATCTGTGTCCCCCTAAGGACTTTTGTTCCTTCTGGTCTGCAAATCCAAATTCTGAACCACTGGATCTTTCTGTCCAGGCTTAAAGATGTTTTGCCAGGGTAGATTTTGAACTTCCACTGTGGAGCAGTGGTGGTAGTTCTCATGGGCATAACAAAGGTGCTAATGGATGGCATTCCACATGTTTTCTTTGCTGGCAGTTTTGCTCTGAATGTCTTTGCCCCTTTTCCCTGAAATCAGAGATATCATAGTTTGACAATATATGAATGGACCTTACAGATCACCCAGCC